ATTAAAATATGATGACTGGGTATTGTCACTATCTATATATTTGCAAGCTATTCCCTTTCCGCAGCAGTAAGTTAATTTTTTTATTATTTTTGAAGTCTTAACAAATTTTTTTTTTAAGTTATTTTATTTTAAGATAGTAAAAGAATTTTTTATATTATAGCTATCATAATAATAGCTATTATTCCATATAACTAAAAAAAGTTGCGGAGCGTAACTTTTTTTAGTTATATGGAATTCCTTTATATTTTCTTTTTCCTTTACTTTTGCAGTAACTGGTTGAAGAGTGTTTTAGCTATTTATTTAGTGGCTGCTGCCTGATTTTATTATTATTTTGATGCCAAATGTTTTGGAGGTTTCCAATAATTAGGAGGTATCCTCAAGTACCTCTGTCTCTAAATTTGCTGTGGATGCCAAATTTGAGCCAGAATTTATGCCCCCTGTCACCAGTAGAATTTACAATAAAATCAACATTTGAAATCAGCAAGCAGTTTAAAAATTATTTGATTATTATATTTTATAGTTTAAGTTTGTTTTGTATTATATTTTGTCTAGTTTTAACTATTTAAAAAAGTTGTGTTTTTTGTGCTGTGATTTTTTAAAAAAGTATTGAGTATTTAAATATATTGTGTCGTTGTAAACATTAAAAAAGTTTTAAACATTTGTACATATAAAATCCTTTGTAAACATTTGTACATATAAAATCCTTTAAGATACTTGATACTTACTATACCAATGTAAATTTTGTGGACCATGTATAACAACATATTTTTGTCAACATCATTGACACATACAATGTGATTGTAAAATATATTTTGCTACAAAATATATTTTTACATAGGAAGTAATAGTTTCAAAATGACAGTGAAAACATTATTGCATGAATTATAGTGATGACTAACAATATGTTAGCCAAAAACTTAGTAATAAAAAATTCAAACTACAAATTAAACATATATTTTTCTTAGCTTGTTAATGAATATTTCAAGATGTTTTTTTTTTTTTAATTTTACAATATTTCTTATTAAAACTTAATTTTAATGTTTGTCAGTCTCTACCAGATGAAATGAAGAGGCCAGTAGAAGCAGCCTCTAAATTATCTTGTTTTCAAAAAATCTTTAGGTAGTGGCCATCAATATTTCCTGTTTCTTGATTTGCCAAAACCTTCAGGCCAATCTAGAATCAAGAAATCTTTTTTGCATCCAAAAATGGTTTAGTGGCAAGTTTTTGATTGGGAAGCAAAAGTCAAAACATTTTTCTGACGAAACAAGAAATTTAATATACATTAGAAAAGTCACAATTTGCTAAATGGTTATTCTGTTTTTTTGCTTAATTAAAACATAAAATGGCTACTTCATATTTCTTGATACTCCCTGAATGGTTTTGTGGTTTTTGTGTATTATTTTTTGTTTTTTAAGTTTAAATTTTTTTTGCAGCTTAGTGAACTTTTTATTTTATATAACATTTTTTTAAATTCAAGACCTTCTTTGGAGTGTTTATTAAAGGTATTTGACCATTTTTATTTTTGTGTAGTTTCATGATATTTTTGTGTAGTTTCATGATGATAATTTTGCCTAACCATGACAAACATGACATTACATACTTTGTAGAAAATGTTTATAAATAAAAAAATATTTATAAATAAAAAAATATTTATATAGAGTGTATAGCTCAGAATGTCAAAAGAGTGTCACATAGCTACTTACCTAAACTTATGCTCAACTAGCACAATTTTTATGCTGCTCTAAGTGATCTTAAACACAAATTTGAATATCGAAAAATTGAATTCAAAATTTAAATATTACGCATCTTTTATATATGTAAGATCTCATCTCAAGTATTGCTGAGCAGTTTAGGGGCTTTTTCAATTATAATGCTTTTGAAAAACAATGCGATAAGCAATAAGGTTTACTACCTCCTGTCCTTGTTGGCATAAAAAAAACATAAAAATACATAATATTTAAACAAAACCTTTAAAAACTTTCATTTTTTACAAAATTATAGGTTGTTTTTTTTTTGAGGGGAGGGAATGGCAATTAAAACTAGTTAATAATCAGTTTTTGATAAATATTTACTTTAGCTGATGGTTTGAAAAATATAATTTTTAGCTGATGGCATAGGTTTTTCTGTTCTTGGTTAAATGTATAATATTAGGTATATAATAAAATTATTAGTTTTTCAGACAAAAAGAATTATATTACTCAAAGATTTAATGAAGCATTAATTTTAAAAAAAAAATTATGTTGTTTTTTTTTAATTAAATTTAATTAAATATCTTGATTATTGTTTTAATTAACCTTAAGTTATGTTGATATTAGTTTAACTAATACCAGCATAACTCATTAGCGTTATGGTATTAGTTTATTTTGTTATTTGTATTTGCTTTTGTCTTATGTTTTATTGTTTTATGTTTTTGTCTTATGTCTTAAGCTTTTGCTTTTGTCTTATGTTTGCTGTTGATGTTTTTCATTTTTAAATTGTTTTATGCTTTTTTTCTAATTGTGTATGTTTTAAAATGATGTTCTATTGTGGTTTTAATCTTTTTTTTACTTTTAGAATATTCAAAGAAAAAAATTTTTCAAGGTAAAATTCTATTGCTATAATTTTCACAAAGATACAGTGTATCATAAAATATTTAAAAAAGCAAAAAAAAAAATGTTTCAAGTAAAAACAAATTTTTAAGTACTTCCTAATATTTAAAGATATTTATTAATTCTATTTTTTATATCTAAGTGTTATTTCTTCTATTTCCTATCTAATATCATTACAATTAAAAATAAACACTTTTATAAGACTGAATCATTACATTAGCACATAATTAGTTAATAATCATTACATTAGCACATAATTAGTTAATAATCATTACATTAGCACATAATTAAGTTATTGCAATAGAGAAGAATCGTTTCAACAAAACTCAATACAATAAAATAGAATCTCTTTAATAAAATTGAATTATACATTATTGAAGTTATTATATTATTGAATTATTACATTAATGGTTTTTATAGTTTCACAAAAAAAAATGCTATTGCACAAGTGGTTTCCAAAAATATTCATGTTAAGTCATTTAAAAGATATGTTGATGACTCCCATTCTCGTTTTGGGTTAGGGTTATTCTACTGAAGCTCTTTAGTATTTCTTAATAACCAATATAAAAATATTCAGTACACCTAAAATTTCAGTACTCTAATGAAATTGTTAATTAAAATAACACACTACACTTTCTTGACATGATCAATATTAACAATAAAACTGGTACGTATGATATTAAAGCTTACTGAAAGATGCCATCACTAACATCTAAATCAAACCTAACTCATTCAATGATCCAAAAATTATAAGCAAGTTTTCAAAGGATTTGTTCATTAGGCATTATATTTTAGCTCTGATAATAATATCAAACAAGAGTTGTTATTTCTAATTGATGTTTTTTTACATCTTACAAAAACATCAATTAGAATCTTGTACAACTTGGGAAATATTATAAAAGCCACTAAAGAAAATCTACATAATAACAAACAAAATACTGAAACTCAACATTTATCCATTTATTCAAATAATATTTTATCTTTGCCATGGGTTTCAGGAACTAGCTTGAAGTTAAGAACATTTTTCAAAAAAGCGGGTTAAATCACCAAAAAATTTACAACATATACTTTCCACAAAAAATAAACCTCCTCTTCCTATAGATTCTTTTCCAAGTGTATACAAACTTGAATGCTCCTACAAATAATGTTATACCGGTGAAATAAAAATAAAAAATCTCATCTTGTATTTACCAACATCAGAAAAATACTTAAAAAAGAAAATGAAAGTATGTAGCAATAGCAGAACAATCAAAAAGTTGTCAATTTTTAATTAATTTTGTATTTTATAATTTTGTATGGAACAATAAAAATACATTAAAAGTAGAAGTCAGTAATTTTAACAAAAAAATAAGGAAGGCACTTGAAATACAGTTCCATGATTGTGCACTTTCAGATGGTGGTCTGAACCAGGATGGTGGAGGTTACGACTTCCTTTTAGAAATCTATGTTTCGATATTTGAATTAAAAGAAACTATTTTTTTGATTGCATTGATTTGTTTTTGTTTTGTTTTTACCAGTTTTTTATACTTGGTAAAATCTATACTCCTTTGAAATATCGTAATAAAAATCAATTTAAAAATAAAGAATTACAACCAAAGTAAAAAATTTTATTTATACACAAAAGAATTATTTATCTCAAAATTTTATTTTTGATCTTGTTTCTCCCACTAAAACCATCTAAGTATTCCACGCACTGAAAAGTATGATCTTTTGGTCACTTTTTTGGTCAGACAAAGTTAACTTTGAAGTTTACTCCTGGTATATTTTAAGTGATCTCAAATTTATTAATACTATAACTATTTGTAAATAGTTATTCTTATAAGGCATTTTATAGGCTCATATAAGCTTTTACTTTCTTTTCTTTTTTTTTTTTAAATAAGCAAAATCAAAAATAATTCCACAACAAGGAAGTTACTTCCAACAAGGCTGCAGGCAATGACTATATAAGTTCAGTGTTGCTATGAAGTAAAAAAGAAAGTTAAGGAGCAATAAAATGGTTGGTTAAATGAATCAAGATGATATATTATATCTGTTTACTTCATTGTAAGTTTTTTAACCCTTGAAAAAGTTTTTATAAGAGCAGAAAAAGTATTTTTTCTTGAAAAAGTATTTTTTTATAAGAGCAGAATTGAGCATGCTGAGTTTCATAGTTTTTACTTGAAGTTTTACAATCTTTTTTTTGTTGTTGTTACAGTCATAACGAAAAATCCAATGCCTAAAAACAATGCAATCAATGGTGTAAGAAAAAAAGTTTAAATGATTATTAACAAACATTTATATTATGTTTAAAAAAATCAACATGACATTATCAAGGTTCTCAATTATGGATATAAAATACAATTTTTAACTCAACACAACAGGATTGTAAATAAGCTTCAAAACATGTTTACATGACCCTTACAACTTTAAAAC